ATCAAAGCTTCTTTTTATAAAACCAAGAAACCGATTCAGAACATAAATGTACAAAATATAAAGAAAGATATTTCTAAGTGTTCTTGGAATGTAGACTATTATGGACAAGGAGATAGAAACAAAAATCTCTCAGGAGTTTGGAAGTATGAAATCATTAATTAGTACTGATTATCCAATGTGTGCATGCTCATCAAAGCAACAATCTGTATAAGGAGGTAACCTCCTGTAAGAGTTTCATGAACAAGTTTTATTAATTAATGTTTGTGGATTTCAGTGTTTATGTAAAGCCAACTCTTAAAAAAGTTGGTAAGATGATAATACTTTAATCAATACCCTGTTGCCACTGACCAATGGGCACATTGTAAGAATGCCAAATGAAAAGATCAATTGAACAGAATATTGAGAAATGCTGTAATTTTTCGCTTCTAAATACCCAGGTCAAATTGTATAAGGAGCCTTTCCTCAGGGCATTAGCAACTCTTCACTCTCACCATCTCAGCAAAGAAGTACAAGGAGGTGGAGGTTATCTGCCTCTGAAGTGGAAATGCAAAATTCATCAAAATAAAACATTAGTAAATATATTTTGCAAATTAACTTATCAAATAATTCAGTAGAAAAATATTTCCTCCCCAAATAAATGTATACAATGAGTTTTATAAACTGAGCTTTTATTTGTTATAATTTGATAAAGTTTGAATATTTTCATCAGTTTTTTGTTTTTTTAAGAACACCTGTAACAATTTGTTTATTTTATTCTACAAATACTTCAGATGCTGTAATTCTCTACTTTTCAACATTTAAATTAGAAATATATTTAAAAACAAGCACTTCAATGAATCCGAATGAGATATTGAGAAAAGAAAGATATTGCCTCAGATTTCATAAGTTTGTATTCTCTCAAACAATTAGGATCAGCTAAGTGAACACGTTGCCTAATCAATTTAAACTTTTTGTAGTTTATAAAATTCCATAAAAATGGCTGGCATAGATCCATGCTGACTAGAATTTAAGAGTGGCTAACCTGGAACATTTGATGAAAATACTGGTTCTCCTTTGGATGAAATTTCAATGAATAATGAAATCATTTTACTCTTTATTGGGAATCAAAGGTTCTCAACAGTGAATGAGATTTATTTAGAATCAGTCATAAATGTTTTTTTTTTTTTTTTGACTTATTATCTTGGCATATCCTGAGTGAGGGTCCAAAAGCTATGGTAAAATTGGAGTATATGCCATTTTTCAAGACAGCCTAAGTGAAATTTATGTACTATTTTTGGATTATTAAAATTTAATTGTATATTAGCTTTCCTTGTTACTTAAATGATTTGGCATCTAGTTTTCTTCTAAAGAAAATATAAAATTAATTTCCACTGAAACAAATACAGTTATTATTAGTTTGTTGATTATAAGATTGATTCTTTTTAACTGATTATTATATTTCACGGCAAAATATATTTGGTATATTAAATGCATTCAAATCAAGGAAATTGTATTAAATCAGATGAGCTTGATGAGCCAGTTGCGCAACAAATATGAGGTAAACTTCTTTATATTCTTGTAGTTTTGCAAATTGGAATAAAATCAGACAGCAGTTGGTATTTTCCCAACAAAAATCACAGCAGGTTGATTGAATTCCTTCCCAGAGATTCTTTGATTATTTTGCAATAGAAAAAAAATTCAAATTTGTAAACAAAGTAAAACCGAGATAAATTTATACTTCCTTAAAACTTAAGATAGAAAATATGAGATAAATGCAAGCTGTCATTTTGAAAGAAAATGATAATAAAAAAAAGTATTGCTGCCATATCTGGGCTGGGACTGGCCATTCTTCACTTGCCACCATATAGTTTAAAAGTGTCTATGCTGCTTTGTGGGTGATGAATTATTTTCCACTCTACAACATTTTTCCCCACAGATGAAACATTGCAAACTTCTCACTATTCTATTGCTATTTTCATGGTAAATATTCTATGACCTGCCATGCCATGTACAGAGAGATGAATCATCCTCATTCCTAACCTTTGTATTCTATTAGTAAGAAGGGAATTCTACTTGGACAGCTTCTTTCCAAGAGCTGCTACTGAGAGGATGTTTTCCTGATCATTGCAATCTTAACCTCTTCAGGGTTAACCATTATCTCCCCTACATCTCCTCATAAACTGTACTTCTTACCTCCTCCTCTTATGCTTAAAGAACATCAATCTGTAACATTGAGGCCTTGTATTGGATGAACATTAGTATAAAAAAAATTCTTTCTAAGCTAAATTCATGAACAATGTACAAGGGATGCCTGAAAGTAAGGTACAAACATTTAAATGTTGTTTGGAAAGCCAAAACCTATGATAATCTGAAGGAGTCAAATTATGACTAAGTTAGATGGATGCAGTAAAACATGCCAACCCTATCATGAGAACCACTCTTTTGTCCAGTTAGATACATGTGGGGTGACATTGTTGTGCAACCATCTTGGTCTCAATCAATGTTCAGCATTAAATAACCCATTGAAGTTGATATGCCGCAAAACAAAATAGGCCAAACCTCTATCAATGAACAGCTTCCTTCAGTCTAGCAAGGATTTCACAATATCTGGGCATGTTATCTGCTTGACTATGTAGCATAAAATCCAGGAGCAACACACATTTTGCATCCGAGAACACAACTGCCATTAATTTCATTGCTGACCGCTGAACTTTGAATTTTTGTTGGGGTTGGTGATGATGGAGGCTTCCAGTTCATGGAATCAAACTTGGCTTCCACAGATTATCAATTAAGTTCCTTAAATGGCATTTATTTGGGAAGACGTTACACGCAGATGTCACTGTTATTGCAGAGGTGCAAGAGTGACAGCAGTTGATTGATAGCATCATTCTTTGAGGAGGTATTTATGTGCTTGTATATCAATGTGACAAAAGCCTCAATCATAATGGTAAATATGTAGAAAAAGTAGCATAGTATTGTTGGTAATATATACACAATGTTTTATTTGGATCATAATGAATATATTGGATTAGTAAATGTTTGCATCTTCAGTTTCAGATATCCGTTGTGTGTATCAGTCTTTTTGTTGTTAAATTGCTAGAATGTCTCCAACCTACATCTTTTTTTAATTGATTTTTCCTTATTGAAGTTATCAGAATAGACAAAAAGGATTAACAGATTCAAGATAAGTTTTATGTAAGGTTTACATTATGTATAAATATGTCGATAGTCTGATAACAACAGTTACAACATAAAATCTGTCTCTGTCTGCTTTTGTTAAATAGGTTTTAAAGAGAGAAACTATAGCCACTATTTTCATGATTTGGCTAAGTAGCTATCTTAATGTTGACCTTTATGAAGGGGTGCTGAAAAGTTCTTGGCCCAGCCAAATTTCTAAAATCTATCCAAATGACAAACCTTAGAATTTATTTTGTAAGGACTTCTTAGTTGAGCTTTTCAGCTCCTTGTCATATATCTAGGGTAAATCAATAGATTTATTGAAAATAATATAACAGTGAAGGGGGTGGAAGTTAAAGTTTTAAATTCAAAGGTTTTACATTTTTCTTATATAAACAAGAGGGATTTTATGACACAATGTATTTGCATGTGTGTACACACACATTTTTTAGTTTTATAACTGTAAGGCTGAAACATAAGTGTGTTGTGTCATGCAATAAATGGAATAACTCAGAAAGATCTTAAATAAATAAACAAAATTATTCCATCAATTCTTTTCATTGGTATTTGTTTTAATGGAAAGCGTTAATAGTCACCTCCTTATAAATGCTGAGATTTTCAAAAAGAACAAAAAAAGACTTAAAAAGTGACTACCCATGCATCAATTGTTAAAATAATGTCAATTAATAAAGAGCATTATTATCTTCTCAAGTGAAGAATTTCCCTTTTTTTGTACTCATTACTGTAAATGTTTTGTTTATAAAAAGTTGCTGATATCTTTTTAATTGCTCATTTTCTATTTTTGGACTTTCATTATTTTTGTCAAAAGAATTGCATCAGTAAAAACTGTTTTGTTCATACAAGAAAAATGTAAAAGCTGAATGAAAAGAATGAAAAATCAAAGAGTGGAAAATTTCATTGTAAAAATATTATCAGAGAATTTTTTTGACAATCTTTGTTTTGATAATAGACTTGCATATAATGAATGACATTCAAAGAATTCCAGAAAATTAAATTAAGCCTAGCATGATATTTTCCTTCTGATAAGTGAGAGCCAGTTTAATGAAATGATCACCTGTCCATCACAGAAAATGGTAGTGGAGTATACATCACCAAAAAATGGTAAGAAACAAATGACCAATAAAAAGTCAATTTGAAAACTAATTTCTTTCAAATGCAGGTCAAATCTTGTTTTTGTTCAATTATGATAACTTGCTTTTTTCTGCAACATTGACAGATCTTCAAAGCAGAAAATCAAAGATATTATGTGTTAATGAGATAGAAACCTCAAAGAGTCTTCTTATGTAATTAATTTTCATTTAGCTTCATCTGAAAATTAGGATATTGGCAAAGAGACTTTGTTTTGAATATCAACATTTTACAAGTCTACTTGGCAAATTGCTATCCTCAATCTAGAAAACCATTTTTCTAACCTTGACATTAATAAGGAGGTAACTGAAGCAAATTCTTGGTTAATAAATCTGTGATCTTTTTTTTTTTCCTTTTGCACATTTGATATTATAAAGTTTTGTTGAGAAAAGAAAGCAATACTCAAACTAAAGCCTAGCAAGCAGACTGAGTTGTTGAAGCAGAAGCTTAATTAAGAGTGTCAAAGAATCAGTGAGGCAGTTAGACATCAGCAAAGCTCTCAAAAGAAAACCTGCTCGCCACGCCGGGAAGGTGAGGAGCCGAGCTAATGTTGTTAGTAAGAATGAACAGGCAGTTAGTGGTTAGCACAAAATTAAAATATTAAAACTTCTGAGGACAAATAAATAGAAAGATGTCAAAAGATAGAAAGGAAATAAACAGAGATGGGCAATTGGTTGTCAGCAATCTAATCATACCCGCCGGGGTGAAGTAGTAGTTGAAGAGTTGTCCGCGGCCAGCGGTGATGGGGTAGGCTCACAAGAGGAATGGCTGCAGACTGGAGCAGATACAGCGGCAGCCATCGATGCCGACGGAAGGCTCACAGTGCTTGCAAGGGAAGTTGTACTGAAACATTTTTTGTAACGCCTCCACCTGGAAAACCAAATAATTACACGTGATAGCTCATGTTGATTGGCAATGGCCTCATACAAAGGCCAATTTTTTGTCAAGTTTATATCTTAACCTATTTTCATTTGTAAAATAATTTTTCTGTATTTTTTTTTACCATGCTCCATATTGTGAATAAACTTTATTTAAGGTTTTTGAAGGTACCAATGATCTTTGCAAGATCAGAGAAATCAAACAAAAAAACAAATTTCACATGAATTAATTTGAATAGCAATAACTGATGATTATTACTTTACAGAGGATATTTTTGACATTTTTCTTCAGTGTTTTTTTTTTAATAGTGCAGTCATGTGACCAAACCACTCTTAACTCATGTTTTATGTTTTGTATTCTTATTAAAGTTATCTGTGAATTTATTCATATTTGGTTTCTTTTACCTTTTAAAGATTATTGACACAGTCAAAAGTTTTTTAAAAAAAACATATTCATAGTGTGAAACATGGTAAAAAAAAAATATATTTTAATCATCATTATAATTGCATACAAGGATTTTGACCTGTTTGTGTGAGAAGCTAGGATGATGAAAGATGGAGAGTAAAAGAAAAAAAAACAATGTTCCACAGAGATGGGCAACAAGTCTTCATTGCCATTAGAGGAGGGGTGGTAGGTCAGAGACTGGTCTTTTATGTCCTTTTTGGGTTGTTGTGTTTACAAAAAGAGTAGACACAGGACAGTGTATGGGAGAGGGGGCAAAACCTGGAATGACAAAAAAAAAATGGATATTTGTGAGACATGTGAAAACAAAAAATAAGAAAATAGCCAGGCCACTTGACACATGCAGCAAACAAGATTTTTTTCTCAACAAGACAAACAAAATGGAATTTCAGCCAAATATTCATAAGCACATTTCTGAAAATAGATTTCTTTATTTTGAAAAAGAGAGTAGCAATCAAGGAGTATGATCCTCTCTTGAAATTAAACATAGCCATAATTGCTTATTTTATATCCCCAGTGAGAGACCTAATTATTTTTGCCAAGTAAATTTTAATTAATGAAGTCCAGGTACCCAATCAATTAACACTGAATACTTCAATAAGTTAGCCACTGAAAAAAAAAAAAAAAAAAAAATAGTAGATTTTTAAAATCTGCCTCTTCAGTGTGACAAAATTTCCTGAAATACTGTGTTTTAACCCAATCCCATATTGCATTTAAAAGTAAAAGGGAGATAATCATGGAAAAACTTGAAACAAAACGAGTCATTAAGAAAGCTATTTGATAATGTTTTTGATTTGTTTTCTTTTGATAATAAATTTTCCCCAGATATAAAAAAAAAAAGAGAAAAATATTTCTTTTATGCTTATATCTTTCTCTACTTCTTTGTTGTATTTGTTCCAATGACTGTGTCATTTTCTTTTTGTGTATTAATAATGTGGTTAGTGTTTTAAAGTTAGCATATTTTAAATAGAATACTTTTTAATATTTGAGAATCATCTTCCTTCTATTCAAACAATTATCAACTATACATAGTAAAATTTCAGTTCATTTAATTTGCCAATTCTCTGGATGATGAAAGGAATGATAAACAATCTTCATAAGAAACTGGGAGATTAGAAAAAAATGAAAACTTTTTTTTTTCTGCAAATGAAATCTTTTTGCATTGACTTGTAGGAAAATATTGATAGAGAGAATTATATCTTTAAAATATATTTTTCATTAGAGAATAATTCAGTCATTGACTAATTTTATTTCTGTAATATCACAACCAAATTCCATAAGTTGCCATAAAATAATTGTATTTCTATATTTGATAAAATGAATCAGTTTCTTACATGAGAATATACCACAATTGAAATTTGATGTTTTTATTATTATTATTAGCAGAGAATATCATTGGTGGAAAATTAAATCATGAAGAATCAAATTTACTGTTAAAAATTCAAGATGGGGGGGGGGAGCAGTCTAACAGATCAGGTTTATATTGCGGCTTCTTTGTAAAATGAAATCTGTATTGTTGAAATATAGAATAATCTTGTCATCTTAGACGTGGATTTGAAGAGAACAATTCTAGTAGAAATGTAGGCTGTGATGCAAACTGAAAAGTCTTCGTGTAGCATCAACTTTATATAGAAAATGAAATAAGAGACAAAACACAAGACTCAAATGTAAAATTCACCAAATAACAAAGAGGAAAGTAAAATGAGGTATAATTTCATGCCCACAGAATCATATGGATTAAAAACGTAAAACTCTTTCAGAATTCTTTGTAAAAATAGTTGTGAGCCATGAAATGGATTTTTTTTTTTTTTTTTAAGTAACTATCAAGGTTATGTTGCATACTGGTGTTTCCAAGCTCATCATTACTCATCATTGTCTGCCATAGTTGCAATTCTTTTGCATATTATGTGTCCCTGGCCAATCCCATTTGAAGGCTTGCAGTAGTCATTTAACATCCCACTTGATGACATTAATATAAAAGGCAACAAGAAACTCATTTTTCTTTTGTTGACTTCCCACAGAAAGTGCATCTGCTTTGCTCACACTTTTCACTGTTTCTAACCAAAAATACATCATAAAGATATACATATTATTTTAGGGAAAAATTTGGAAAGAAATATATTCTATCATATCATGGAGCTGTCCTATGTCTATGGGAGCAAACATTAAAGAAAAGAACAAGTTTTCTTTTTATCCATAATCCCATGGAAGTCATTGTCATTCATCGAAATATCAGTAACAAAAAAAAGAAAAAAAAAAAACAGTTAAAAAATGGAGAAGGTTATTATATGCCAAAGTACAACATTTTAAGTGTGAAATAAAAGAATTCTTATTAAGTGGTCAAAAAGGAACAGGGGAAATATACAGAGTTTGTTTTTCTTTTTTTATTCCGATTTATTTGTGCACATTTGATTATAAGAAATTGTGAAAGAATTCTTTTTACAAGATTTTTTTTAAACCAATCTTTATACCTAAGTGAGTGTTAATATATACAAGAGAATGTTGACTAACACAGAAATATACCACATTGCAATGAGAAATAGGTCAGCATTTTCTATGATAAAGTCAACTTCAACATTTTTTTTTAAATTAAAGTTTTCCATGGGTTTTTTTTTTTTTAAATATAATACAAAATCACAAGATTTTTGACTTTGACATTAGTGGAAGAGTAAAAGATTAAAGAAAATATTGAAAATTGGCAAAAGCAATGAGAAAATACTTTGAAGAACTTTCAAACTCTTCCAAAACAAAGAGAATTCATTGGGAAAATGTAACTTTTCCACCATTAAAAATAAGAAATCATCAGACCTATGTTAACATAGTAGAAGCAGCTGATATAATTTTCCAAAATCTCTCTCATATATATATATATATATATATATATATATATACACACACACATATATAAATTTCTATATATCAGAACAATGTTGTGTAAATGAATGACAATGTGCAAAAAATTCTGTGTAACATATTTTGTCTTCTAGAACTCTATCTGATAAAATCTTTCTATAAGATAAAACACTTTTTATAAGACATTTTTTTGAAAAATACATGTATGTGTAAAGATATTTTCGAAAATTATTTTGCCATTTTCCAAATTGTCTCATATATTTAAACACTGCATTGAATTTTTATACAACTTATATATATATATATATATATATATATATATATATATATATCTCCAAATAGCTTAGCACAAAATCACATTTGTGAAATACTCAGACACATTATGTAATAAATAATCTGCAAGATTAGCTCACTATTACCCTATATAAAAATGTTCAACTGTAAAAATAGAAATCAAAATCAATTACTCTCACCCATAATAAAGTTAAAATACTGATCAATTTTGCTACAGAAGAGCTGATGACCAAGCTTTTTTTATAAAAAAAATGTGTAAGAGAATTATGATATTAAAAAAGAGAGATAAATACACTTTTTTTTGAGTGGCTGCAGATTTGTCTTGGTTTTAAAGCAAGACAGATGAAAAGTTATCAGTCACAGATGGTGTGAAAGTAAAATAAATGGATAATTGTAGTCTGGAAGCATATCAATTCTTTAAAATATAAGGAATGCTTTTTTTTTGTTGCATATTTTGGCAGAGGTATTTATTATTTGGAGGGAACACAAATACTAATTTGACTTGAGATCCTGAAGAAAAGAACTTCATTTTTTGAAGATGCAACAATGTGTGAATGACTGAAATTTTACATCTCGATTCAATTAATCATAAAAAAAAAACAAGCAGTATTATTTGTACTATAAATAATGAAATGAATTCAAAGTTTCTTTTTTTCTAACATTTTCATTTACAATTCATCTGAAATATATAAAAAGTGGAAATTCTGTTTTGGAGCATGAATATTAACATCACCTTAAATTGAAAAGTATTTTTAGTACTTTAATTTTCTAATGTCATCTGATTATGAGTAAAGACTATCAAGAGTAAAATGTGAAATTATATAAAAAGGACTGTATGATTTCCTATCAACTGGTATTAAAGATACATCTGGTTGCATATGATGCACATTCTGGTCAATACAAGTAGATATATTCTAAGAATTGGTTTCGTATATATTTAACTTATTATACAAGGGCTCAAGAGATCGAGACCTGTGGATTATCCTTGAATCCAGTTCTCTGACAAGAGATGACTCTCATGTGCTTATTTGCAGCTAATATTAAAGTAGATTATTTTACATAATACAACACACATCCTGAGCAAAAGACAATAATAACAGAGTATGACAGATTTTACTAGTATTGAATTAATGAAAAGGATGAAATGCATTTTCATTTCAGTTTGACTTCAGAGTTAATCATAACAAATATAATCAGAAGTTGACATGTAATTACAAAAATTTCAGTTTTCAATCTACTCCCATACCACATATGCCAAAGTAAAAAGTTAATATTTTTAAACTCTTCTTTTCCATGTTGTTTATATTTTTTATATCCAGACTAATTTCCTCATCTTTGTTGTTACTATCAAAATGTTTCAGTTGTTGTGCCAACTGGACTTC